AATATAATTACGCCAAGTGAGAAAAGGTTTTGTATCAGTTCAGCGGATTTCTAAATAAAATATTTTAATTATTTTTAACATGTTTGCATGATTCGTGGCGGGGGTTATGCTCGCTTGTGCAGTTATTTGAATGGTTTAGCCACACTTCTGCTCGTCTTGATTTACGGTGTTAAATTTAATTCATGTTGATGTTAAGAGAAATTAGGCACGTTTATGTTTATCTGGTGTATTTATCTTATGCCTTGAAATAATTCAATATCCCTTTATTTAACAGCAAAGGAGATCCTCCAATGTTTATACATATTTTATTATAATATTACGAAATAGATTTCAAGTTAGTAAAACCTCCATAAGGAACATCTTTTCATTTAAGGGGTTATTGGAAAGGGCACAGCCAGTACATTTTATTTAAAAACAAAGAAGGTTAGCCAATGTTCATAATCAAATACATATTTTATTATAATATTACGAAACTGATTTCAATTTCTTAAAATCTACGCCAGGAACATCCTTTCATTAAAGGGGTGTATTGGAAAAGGGATGTTTCTAACCAGTTTTCAAACCAATTAAGTATTATGAATATCGACGAGAGTCACGAATTTGATGTTGTTGCAAATAACCATTGTCTGGTCCTCATTAATTTAGAATGATTTGGGATATTCGCAATCCAAAAGATTTTTTAGTATTATTTTTTCGATTTTAATTGAACGTTAATGTAATTTGATCAGTTCGTGTCTCCTGTACGAATTACTTATTAATATTAATCAAGTCTGTCAACTAATATAAAAAAAAACAAACAAAAAAAACCCCTTAAAGTAGCTAGTAAATATCAATATCATCCGAAATTCGACATTGAAAATACGAATTATTTGTCAATTTAAATCAACATTGATGTTGTGTTGATGTTGTGATCTTACCGGGAAAAGGTGGATTTCTGATATCCAATATTTAAGACAAAATAAACATTGTACCATAATACGTTTCAGCGCTGTTTGTAACAAGGGACTCGAATAACGAGGCTAGACATACTCCACAAGTCATGTCAAACGGTGATGGCATATTCTTATCTGAAGAGCATGTGCAATAAATACTATCGATGTAGACTGGAATAACCAGGCGCTAGCGGTTGTCATTCGATTGAGACTTCTGGCGTATTCCGCCGAACATAATTGATTTGAAATTAGACCAAAAACGTAAACGATTCATTGCGAATCGGTTTATATACATCCATACTACATTACTATATGCGTTGCTACTCATTTGTGTCAATTTCTAGGTCCCAAATATTAGCAATTTAACTTGATTTCTATATGTCTAAAAAGCACTAGAAACAATATAAACTTGGATCATTTTAATTGAGTCGATTATTATTCGAAAGATGACATGCAATATCCAAATAATAAAATGAGAATTCGATGTGACCACTATAGTTTCAGTGAGATGTTTTACTATTTTTTCGTCACATACCTTTGATTGTAACGTTGCTCAACAAAAGAAACTAAGGAATAGTCTGTCACGAGTTGTCTCCCCTTCTCTACATGGCGGAGGCACCACTTCGTAATAACTAAATAATTAATGACATAAATTTTATTGCAATGGACGATTAATTAGTCCCCGTGACAAAACCTGTATTATCTCATTATAAAAGATTGGTTAATGTCTGTGGAATCGAGAGGAAAGCCTATAAACGAATCGTTCAATTCACGTGTTAGACATCGACGAACTGGTTTGTGCCCGGTTGAAGACGACGTATCCATGATTTCGTCTTTTTTAATAGGTGATGTCATATTCATGCAAAAATTAACAGTGTTTTGTACAGACACATCAAGTTCCTTTAAACGTTTTCTATGTTCGGATTGCGAATGGCGCCTTTTCTGAGCCTCTGACAATTTCGGACGAAAAGGCGATGGGCTGGAACTTGTGATTTCTGGCATAAAGAAAGAATTCGCTGAATATTCAACACGGGGACTTTCCATAAAATAAGTATCCATGGAATTGCTATGGTTCAATTTATCCAGTTTACTTTTAACCTTCCGATAACTATTTTCATGTTGATCTTCTGCAAATGGCAAACATACAAATTCGCTTAGTTGTTCACTTAACGCATGTCGTATCAACACTTCCTGGTTTCCTTTCTGTGCTTGTTGCTGACTTGTATTTTGTGTAGCACGCAGCCTCGATTGTTCATTGCGAGCACATATCAAATCATTCATATCACCTACTTCCGTATCCAAAATACTAGCAACTTGGGCGATATCCGCGCTTGTATATCTAGATGGATCACAAAATCCACCTTTCGTCCGAGAAGGCTTGGAATTACTTGTGATCGTAAGGTTTTCAAAGGGTAATGCCCAATCATTTTGTATACCCAGAGGAAGAAAACAGCTTGGTGTGTCAGTGCCATTGCATGTTTTGCATTTTTTGCGCGGTGTTTTATTGTTTAGCACAAAAGAAGTATATGCAAGTCTAGTAAGATAGTCGCTTGCTGATCTCAATAAAAAGGGATCTTTTAGAGAAACTTGAGAATTCACCCAAACGTCTGTCCAATTTCCAGTATTTATGTTTGGCTTTTCTGGTGTTTTTAGTATCTCCATCGCGGGAGACATTCTTATTTCCTCATATTCTCGTAACCAACCCTGAAAAGGTATTGGATCTACTGGAACTGTATGTCTATTGACGTCTGTTAAAATGTCATCGGTATTAACTAATTTTTGTGCCAGAATTTCAGACCAATCAGTTCCATTTGTTACCATATTAACTTCCACCATGATTAAGAAACTAGCCAACTTGCTGTAACAAATTAAGTTAGAAAATTATTTATTTGATAGCCTATCTAACCGACTGGTTTGAGAAATCTTGATGCGTAAGAACCCATAATCATGTGTGGAAAAGTGTGAACAAATTGTATTTACACGTAAAAAATAACAAAAAAAACCCACAATCTAACTTAACTACGGACACCACTGCGGATACTCATTACTATTGAACTGATTAGATACATGTATAACGAATGAAATCCAATTACCAGTATTCGAAAGGTGTTTTCGTTAAAAAAAGATAACGTACCTACTTACCTTATCCAAAACGACAGTGATAAAAAAAAAAAGAAAATTACGTCATTATGACGTTGCTTAGCAGAAAGTAAACAATTTGGGTTCCGATTTTTCTTGGGTTCTTTTATCAGTGGAAGCATTCGCCGTACATATAGGTGAATGGTGAAAGCTAATACAATAACAGGGCCATGTCGATAAAAAAACACTTTATAGCACAATAAAGTCATCCGGGTGGCGGCAATTCATGCCTGAGAAGATGCCAATGCCGCAGACGTGATGTTGACGTTTTCAATCGCTCCAACGCTGTATATTTCTGTGTCAATATAAATCTAACGAAACAGTAGGCCTACCCGGATGGATATAATTCACGCAAAAGTTGATAACGCAGTACTATACTGGCAAAAGTCATTTATATAATAAGATATGCAAAATAAACGAATGGGGGGGGGGGCATACCGTCAACTCATTTCGGGACCTACATAATTCACTTACGCCAAGGGCTCTACTCCTTGTCACGTATAACAGGGGAATCAAAACCACGCCAGTTGATTTAATGACAGATCTTATGATGCAACGCGCACGCGCTAACCATTCTACTATCTACCCCCCCCCCCCCCCCACTACACACATAACAGTGTTTGAAGATTCTGGGGCCACTGTGGCTAAGTGGGTAAGACGTTGGCTCGCTAGCCTAGAGGTCGCGTGTTCGATCCCTGCATTGGTCGAGGAAGTTCATCGGAATTTTCCGACGTGGTTTCCCCATGTCAGTGGTGCAGGACAGAGTGCCTGACAAGGACAGCTGTCTGGTCATTCGGGTGATCTTAAAGATACATTAGTAATTAGTTAATAAAGAGTTGGCCATTCTTGCTATAATAATTCAAAAATAGATGATAAAAAAAGAAAATGTTGAAAATTTCAGTCAGATTACTTTGTTCTAAACGGAATTGTCACTGTTAGAAGTTTGGACTAGAAATAGGCACCAATTGTGTCTTCACCGTCTATGAGAATTGGCGATCGTTTGATTTACAAACGATAACTCCACCCAGTTTCCGGTTGTGACATCAGCGAGTAACGGTAAACGTTAGCTTGGTCGGCCATTTATTGATTTAATTTTAAATGGACGAGGCTGTTTAAATCCAAACTGTATCCAAGCCATCCGTGGGTCTACAGAGTTGATTTTAAGCCTGTCGTGTAAATAAAGGTCTAATTAATCATTTCTATAACATCTGAAGCCTAAATAAAGACTTGCAATGGGCAGATTTAGCTCTTGCATAATGTATGTTTAATCTTTATAACCAGAACAAGCCCAACATATTACAGTCATGTGATAAATACCGAAGAATGTTGACCATCTCGATTTCCCTAATTCAGGTCTATTTACTTCACCCTGATTCTTTCACCTCAATATCATCAATATTCACCAGAAAATGTAAATTCTTCGATCCTAGCTCAAACAGTCAACAAGCATTGCCATGCAAAAGGGGAAGAAAAAGAGAACTGCTATATATAGACGAACATCTCCTGGGTATCAAGATATAATCTTAACTCATTTTTTTTACCCACCAGTTCAAAATTTTAAATGGAAATTTACTGAAAAAAAGAGTTCCTTAAAAACTATTAGTACCGGTACCGGTATTTGTAATTTCAGTCAATAGGTATTAACAGTGCCCCAGGCCTTACAATCTTGCGCCATATTTTTGACACTGTCACAAGTCTTTCTTGCACACAATGTAGTCTTAATTATCCATCATCATCCCTGGCTTTGCTCAATTTTGTGTAAAACACACTTTCATCTTCTAGTCTTTAGGTTGGGGGATTGGGAGGGGCCTCAAGTTGAATAGCCTAAGGTCTTTCTTCATCTAAATCCGTCTCTGTGTATAAAAACCTTTTATTTTAGATTGAAATGATTTCTTTATCTTTCTTTCAAAAAATTACAAACTACAATAATAAAGGAATAAATACAATATATTTGTTCAATAACTTATTACAATACATTATTTTATAACTACATTCTGAACCTTATCTACTAGAGAAAACATCTATTATAAAAAAACAGTATAAAATAGGTAGCATGTTCACAAATATCTGTTAATAAAAGTTGGGACAGAAATAGCTGGTATTCATTAATAAATTTAGGTTAATCAATTGTGTGAAAAATCAAATTAATCCATTTTGTTATTCCAACTTCTTCTGACCCACGTTTAATATTGAACTACATGGTTTAGATAATATAACTAAATAAAAGGTGCAGATTGATGTACAAATTATGATTAATGAAATATGATTAATTCAATCCATTCATAAACTTAACAGTCAAATGACCAAACTAACTGACCCTTAATTAACTTGGAATGTTTTGGTTTTTTTAATGAGAACATGTTTTAGAAAATGGAAATAAGGAGAGGGTTGTAATAAAATAAATGTTTTCTATGGTACACCATAAGATGTATGAAATATGTCACCCGGACATAAATGTCTCACTGTCAACAGTTTTCTGTTTAAAATCTTTTACTTAATTAAAGAGACACCCTCACTATGGGGGAACAATGTTTTTGATTATTTTAAATTTGACATGAAATAAATCTGCTGATTGGCTGCCGAGATACATGCATAGACATTAAAAGGATTGATATTATGAATTCTACACATTTTGATTTTAAACAGTACAATGCTTTGTTCTAAGTTGGCCACTGCTTGGATTTTTTATAATCAGGATATTTTGAGAATGATATTACTCGATGTGAAGTTATTTACATATATGTTCTGGTTGAAAGTGAGAATGTCTCTTTAATTTATCAAAGAAATTCTCTAAAAACGTGCTATAGTTGAGGATAAATTTATAATTTACAGATTATGAAGTAATACATGTAGATAATCTAAATTGCCTTTTAAAAAAAATAAAATATCCCTCCAAGAATGAAAACTTACTCAAATTAGTATTATCCTTTTCTTATTTCAAAAAAATGTTTAAATTAATTCAACAATTCTGATGTAATTAACAACAATATAACAATTTTAATTCATACAAGTTTTAAATATAGAACAAAAAATTATGTTAAAGTTTTAACAACAGCTGAGAATTCCATTAGAAATTTTCTCTTTTACTGAACCAATTGTTCAATGTTAAAAAGTGTTCCGTTATAAACCATTTCATTATTTACAAATCAAACTGACTGTAATACCTCCCGGGATCAAAAAAACAGTACTGATATATGCTTGAGTTATTCTTGTTGTCTTTGTTCAGCATTTTTCAAGCAAGATCTAAGTAAACCACCATTTCTAAACTCACAAAAACTATACATGGCAGTGTTCACTTTCATATTAAAAGTTTAGTTTATGTGTTTTTTCTACAGTGTCTATCACTTTGAATTTCCATCCAGCAATATTGTTCAGGAAATGGTTAATAAATTGCAGTCCATTCACTAACCCATTTCCACATAACTTTAGTCACTGTTTCAATGGGGTTTTTTAATGTGAAGATTTCGATTAATAATAAATAAATACGGGTCCCATCATATTGTTTTCTAAGATAAGTTCCACTGATGTGCTTCAATATTTATTAGCTTTCATGGCATCGAGCATGTCTCTATATGATACTTTAGGTTTTGGTCGTCGACCGCCAGGTACTACATCAGAATAAAACATATTAAACTTTCTTTCAGTGGCTGTTGACTGAAAAATATAAGTAAAACAAGAGTTAATGCCCCTGCTTATAATCAGATAAAGAGCAAACAAACCGTATTTTAATTCAGTAGCTGCGATAGGTCTCTGGTTAGGGAAATTCCTTGTTTGCCAAGAGTTCCAACTTAACAATGACATGTTGAATGGAAGTCTGTCTTGAGCATAAATTCAAATGCACAAATTTAAACAATAAAATGCTGTTACACTAATGAAGGGATACAATTCTGAACTAAAAATTGAAATAGAGTGAGAGAAAGAAATGGGGTTTAACGTCCACTCGACACAAACTAGGTCATTTTGGGACTAACACATGGTTCAGTTTTATTTCAATAATTCGCTTGCGCGTAGGGGTCTTTAGCAGTGGGAGGAAACCGGAGGACCCGGAGAAAACCCACGAGGTTGGACAGGTGACCCTACTCCTTATCACGTACAACCGGGGAATCGAAACCCCACCAGTTGACTCAATGACAGACCGTATGATACAGCGCGCACGTGCTAACCATTCGGCCATCCAACCCCCCAAAAATTGAAATAAGAATGTAACTGTGCTTGATATCAATGAGAGGATACTTGTCAAAACCAGTCATTGTTTCCCATAAAGGTTGTATTTGGTTTAGTATGTAATTCTTACCATTTTAGCTCGGATTGTTTTAGGAATATCTTCATCTTCTGTCCACAGATCACCACGTTTTACTATCACTTGACTTGAATCCTCAAATTCAATCTACAAATCAAAATAACATACAAATGAATATTACCTACTAGTGCTGGCACAATATAATTATATCATTCAAATAATGTACGGGGATTCACCTTTTCACACACAAATTCTGACACATCAGTACCCATGCATGACACTTCTAGTTTATAATAAATCTTCTGTAAATTTGATATATTTCTGGTGCAAAAGGTTGTCTGCAAGATCAATCAGTTACTTATCGTTTCTTTTATCAAGAGCGAATTTAGAACATAATTTAAATAACGATTCTTGCAAAAAATGGGAATACTTAACAAACATCATCGACCACAGTAAATTAAAAATAGGCCAATATTGATAACTTAGCAAATGTAACTGTATTGTTGTATGTATAAATATTTTTAATTTATATAAATAAATCGGCAAACAAGGTACTAAACAACAACGAATTTACTGAAAATGATGCTAACAAACGACAACACAATTTTCAAGTTTCACTTACATTTATACACAAACATTTATGTACTTATTTAGGTTTTCTTGTCATACAGTATCTGAATACTACAGCATTCTGTGAAATTCGTCAACATTTTCATGTCCCGATTTATTTCCTTATTACTTCAACCAAAAAAGTTTTGAGTAGTCCGGATTCTGAATTACGATATCAATCGGCGGTCCTGTCACATGATTTGCGTTGAATTAACATTGGATAATTTGGCCTTCAATCAGTGGGTGTTAACCGACAAACAATCACCAATCAATTATCTGCGAGCATAAAACATGTGTCGGTCTTTGTTGATTACCTTGATAACTTTATCTCTTGTAAGAGAGCGTTTGGTATTTGATTCGAGTTTCTCAAGTCAATTCATAATGTGTGATCGTCCTGCAAAGCATGCCCGTACAGATTTGACATTAATTATAGCAGATTTTTTAGAAAGTTCCACGACCTAAACTGAAGGAATTAGCCGTTAAGTATTTAATTGGCCGTACTACAGTATCCAACATTTTAAAGCGAAAAGATAAATTCAAACAGATGTTTGCCAATAACTTTAACAGACGTAAGAAACGATTTTACTTGAACGCTAAGTTTGAGGACATCAACAGAATTTAAGCACGAGTGGTTCAAGAGCATGGACAAAGTTACAATAATACTTCCGGTATTGAGGCAATTGCGTATTTCGATAGGCTGTGTAATCCGGCATATTGTATCGATCCTGTACGATGTTGGAATTCACAGAATCCACTGTATTTGTAACATAGGTTTTGTAATTTGAATCGTATCACATATGTATTGTGATACATCCTGCATCATAGTAATTTAAGAACCAGCGGCTGCCAGGCAGGATACGCCCACATTTTCGAGAGATCGATAGAGAACTAGCTAAAAAGAAAGTGATTTTTCGTACAATCAGAGGCCATAATTCAGGAAGTTACGGTCCGATATGCGCGAATATCGAAAGGAACCGAGATCTTTGGGTTATAAACTTACATTTCAAGTTTCAACATAATCGGATAAAAATTGTGACCTCTATAGGTTCCACAACCTTGATATACCATATTTTTACGCTATTTGAGAACGAAGGGCGGCTATTTTGTCTGTCAGTTTTGGACTGATTTTCACGAAATTCGAACTCAGTTGTCCTTAAGGTCTAACGGTGATATAATAATACATTTTTTTAAATCGGATAAAAATTATGACCTCTATGGGGTCCACAAGCTAAAATTGCGATTTTTCGTACAATCAGGGGCCATAATTCAGGAAGTTACGTTCCGATATGCGCGAATATCGAAAGGAACCGAGATCTTTGGGTTATAAACTTACATTTCAAGTTTCATCAAAATAGGATTCAAATTGTGACCTCTATAGGGTTCATAACCTTGATATACCATATTTTTAAGCTATTTGAGAACGAAGGGCGGCCATTTTGTCTGTCAGTTTTGGGCATATTCTCACGAAATTCGAACCTAACCGTCCTTAGAGTTTAACGGTGTTATAATAATACGTTTTTTTAAATCGGATAAAAATTATGACCTCTATAGGGTCCACAAGCTAAAAACACGATTTTTCGTACAATCAGGGGCCATAATTTAGGAAGATACGGTCCGATATGCGCGAATATCGAGAGGAACCATGATCTTTGGGTTATAAACTTACATTTCAAGTTTCAAAAACATCGGATAAAAATTATGACCTCTATAGGGTCCACAACCTTAATATACCATATTTTTACGCTATTTGAGAACGAGGGGCGGCCATTTTGTCTGTCAGTTTTGGGCCGATTTTCACGAAATTCGAACTCAGTCGTCCTTAGGGTGTAACGGTGATATAATAATACGTTTTTTTAAATCGGATAAAAATTATGACCTCTATAGGGTCCACAAGCTAAAAACGCAATTTTTCGTACAATCAGGGGCCATAATTCAGGAAGTTATGGTCCGATATGCGCAAATATCGAAAATACCCGAGATCTTTGGGATATAAACATACATTTCAAGTTTCAACAAAATCAGATAAAAATTGTGACCTCTATAGGGCCCACAACCTTGATATACCATATTTTTATGCTATTTGAGAATGAACGGCGGCCATTTTGTCTGTCAGTTTTGGGCCGATTTTCACGAAATTCGAACTCAACCATCCTTAGGGTTTAACGGTGATATAATAATACGGTTTTTTAAATCGGATAAAAATTATGACCTCTATAGGGTCCACAAGCTAAAAATGCGATTTTTCGTACAATCAGGGGCCATAATTCAGGAAGTTATGTTCAGATATGCGCGAATATCGAAAGGAACCGAGATCTTTGGGTTATAATCATACATTACAAGTTTAAAATAAATCGGATAAAAATTGTGACCTCTACAGTGTTCACAAGCTAAAAATGTGATTTTTCGTACAATCAGGGGCCATAATCCATGAAGTTACAGTCCAATACATGCCAATATCGAAAGGAACCAAGATCTTAGGGTGATAAACCGATATTTTACGTTTCATTGAAATCGGATAAAAATTGTGACCTGTAGACTGTTCACAAACAATTGTGGACGGACGGACAGACAGGGGTGACGACAATATACGTCCACATGAAAATGTGGGCGTATAAAAATGTGATGAAAACCTACTGTGTATAGATCTTGACAATTTAATCCTCTGAATATAGCATCATATGTATCTCCATCTGTCCATTTAACCTGTACACTAGCTCCTAATGGTGGTGGACCATGTTCTTCACAATTATAGTTCTATAATAAATATACAATACTCCCTGATTATTTTCTATAATAAATACCCAAACTCTTCTATTGTTTTCTATAATAAATATACAATACTCCCCGATTGTTTTCTATAATAAAAATACACCAAACTTCTATTGTTTTCTATAATAAATATACAATACCTCCCTGATTATTTTCTATAATAAATACACAATTCTAATCTTTTACGACCAACTTATAAATATTATCAGTGATTATCTTTTAGAAATAACACTCATTTTCCGAACGACACACGTTTGTTTGAAAAATTAGTTAACAGAAGGACTAAGAGAAACACACACCACTCGACCCAATGACAGATCTTATTTTCTGAAGCCCACGAATTAGAGCCCCCACCCCCCCAAATAACAACTCTACCAAAACATTCTGTTTCTATGGTAACATTTTGAAATAAAATACTTCAAACTACTAACCGCTATATCTTCTGGGAATAAATTATCACTGAAGGAACCATCGGTAAAATCTACTTCATAATACATATGACGTTCTACATCCACCACTTCTGCTCTGTAATAACGGCCATTTTTATATTTCGCAAATACCCAATCACCATTATTTAATCTGTCAGTTTTCTTCGGTTTGATCTGTAATCAAACAATTCATTTATAACCAAATTGAAATGAAATAAAATAGGGTATTTAACGTCCTACTGCTCTGCTCTAACTGGGATAATGAAGACGAGCATACACTATCACTGTGCTACGAAGAACATTTTGCCTGGACAGTGATACTACGACCTACTCTTATTTTGAATTCCAACAACATGCACACCAACACGTCGTACACAGGACCTTTGTTTTCTGTTCCATCCGAATGACTATTATTTTGTCCCTTTCCAGGCCTATGGGCGACGTTTGAGGAGTATTTTCTTAACATTATCAAGCCAGTTTCTTGTGATACAGTATCCTGATTTCAAATGAAGTGGTGTGTGATATATTAATTATCATACTATAAATGAATAATACATACCTGTTTAGATGTGTGTTTAGAACATGTAATATAAACTGGATGAGGCCAATCACTGGTTTCAAACACCATACCAGCAGCATACGCACACGTTACATGGAAAGCTGATGTACATTTACCATGTGAACACTGCATACATGGTGTATGTTTACCCCAATTCTTAGTCATTGGTAGACAATACATACATTTCTGTTGGAAGAAAACAAAATTCGGGGATTGGTAACATTTTATAAATAAAGACCAAAAATTCCAGCTTCTCACCATTTAAGAGTACTCAGTTGAGAAATAAAAAGCGCTTGTCATGCAAGATATGTCTGTATTTTGCAAGAGATGATTAGAGATCAAGCTTCATAATCCATGAAGTTACTGCCCAATACATACAAATATCGAAAGAAACCGAGATCTTTTGGAGATAAACCTATCTTTCAAGTTTTGTCAAAATCTGATAAAAATTGTGACCTGTAAAATGTCCACAAAAAAATTGTGGATGGACGGACAGGGGTGAAAATGTGGGCGTATAAAAAGCTTGAAGACACTGATTTATTAAGTTTTAGTTTAATATTTTAAATACAAAGCCAATATATTTCTGAAAAGTTTAGCGTCTACTCGACACAACCCAGGTCACATGGTGTTAATTAAATTTCAATAATTTGCTTGCGTGTAGGGGTCTTCAGCAGTGGGAGGAAACCGGAGGACCCAGAGAAAACCCATGAGGTTGGACAGGCGACCCTACAACCGGGGATTCGAAACCACTGCAGTTGACTAAATAACAGGCCTTATAATACAGCGTACGCGTGCTAACCATTCGGCCATCCAACCCCCCTGAAAAGTTATAGTAGACCTGATTAATTCTACAAGTTATAATTGTACCTACCAGTTTATATCTAGCTGTAGGAATATGATCTATCACAATAGGTTGACGCTCCATAACATTTCTTATCTTGACATCATTAATAGATAGTGCACAGACAAGATGACACCATTTGTCATCTGTAGTTTGTTTTAATGCACCACCGCGTAAATAACACAGGACACATTCCTAAAAAAAGACATACATATATACGATACTGATTTAACAATTTAGGAAATAAAACATGACGATCCAATAACAGTTCTAACTTCTAAGTCAAGTTAAATTATAAATTAATACCTCATGCAAACTACATAAATTGCGAAAGTTGAATGGTTTCGATATGGTCAAAACAAGCCAGCGCCTCCTGGAATCTTTTGATGGGCCTCTTTTTAATCTGATTGAACCCAAGCCGAGATATTGTCCACTGTTGACATTTTGTATTTTAAGTGGATTTTAGCACGGATTAAGCTATGGAAATTAGATATTGACTAACAGCTGCAAGATTAGCAGCTTTACATTTTAGCATCCAGATATTAAAGATGTGAAATAACATGTTTTCTGAAATCTTCACAAACGGGATATGTGACATTAAGAAAAATCTAAATAGACCAATAATGATATACTCAAACCATACAATCTGTATTTATAAAAATTAAGAAATAAATAGTCCAGTATATAAACTAGTTGATACTATGTATCTACTTACAGCATCAATACTATTTGATTGACATCTGTCACATCTCCATGAGATATCTGTTTTAGCATCTGTGACACCATAACAACCTATATAAATATCAATCAATCAAACTAATTAACAAGAATCAATTGCAATGTGGACAACATCAAATCTTAATATTTAGAAGAAATATCTCCTACAAAGCGTTAGTAACTGGAGGGGAGAAATTCATTTAAAGACATTTGTGTCAACTATTGTGTAAAGAATTATACTCACTTGCATGTACACAAACTTGACAATCTTCACATACAAGTAACGGACTGAGACCATCAGAATCCATAGATGGATGACCACCAAATATACTCTCGCTTTCAGCACTACTAGCAAATACAACTTCCGGTATCATTGGTAGTGTTTTATCTGGTACAGGATTAGATAAGGCTTCGGTCATAGATTCTTTGGATATATTTAAAGTAAATCTCTCATGCTATAATAAATAACAAGGATAGGTTACACTATATTATAGAAAACAAATTAATTGATATTTGATAGTAAATAGTTCTATACAAACAAGACAAGGTTTTCAAACTTGTTACATTTTGTGCTTGTATCACCTACATGTACATAAGTCATGAAGGGATTACAAGAACAGCAAACAAAACTAAGCGCCTGGAATAAAATTCAATCGTTATCCTCACCTAATTCTGCCTCATATTGCATACAAACACATAGACGACAGACTAGCTTGTGTTTGTCTTCAAAAAACATACATGTATTATTTGATGAACTCCATTATATTATATCAACAAATTTCCGATACAGTAGAATCTGTATGAGCAACCACTCCCATTAAGCGACATCTCCATGTAAGCGGTCACGATAAATTCCACCCGTAAAAACTCTATTGTTTCATCTCTTTATTCAACGGTCACTCTAACGCGGCCAGCGGTCACTATTTTACTAATAAATTTAACAAAACATCGCCCATTCAACGGCCATTGTTGAATGATACCATCTTGTCGTTCTTCGTAACACCCAGTGATGGGATTTTGCCCGTATATTCCGGACTTGTCCGAATCTTTTTTCCAAACACCCAAAATTGTCCGACCGGGAATATGCCCAATCGGACATCAAGACATGGTGAATAATATTCAAAATTCCGAAATTAATATAGTTTACTGAGTGTATAACTACCACTCAACCCGATTATCGTCGATAATACGCTGGGTTTATTAGATAATTAAGTGATCAACGTATTTATCGTGTTATACCGTCTATAGTATAAACCTACCTTGATTTAACTACTTAATCTGCCTTGATTGACTGACTTAATCCTTTGTCGGACAATTCATCAATCTAATCTTAAACAGAAGTCATTGCTTTCCTTTTGTCGGACTATTCATCAATTCAATAAGAATGATTATAATTTTAATCCACCTCATTTGTCGGGCATCTTAATCGCATTGATGTGAGCCGACATCATCTATAATAAACTAATCATAGATGTCACATATCGTAAGAGTAAATAACACCCTAAATCAATGGACAGTCATTTTGTCTACGATATCTTTTACGTCTTTTAAGAATCCATATAGAAATTCTCATCCACAGTGGCACTTTCCCTTGATCTCGAGCGCGGCCAAATATTGCTTAACATATTATTAGGCAGTGCTTACTATGAAGCCGTGTGATGAGTCACGTAGGCTATTAGTCTCTATTACCCAGAAAAATATTCTACGAATATGTTTAAGACTAGGAGTTTCTGGGTGACCGAGACTAGTACGCACCCAGCAAAATAACAAAAAGGGGAGGGGCTACCAATAGCTATATGAGCAGAAATTCTAACGTATTTGTAGGCGTCAATCATTCTGCTGTGTTGCCTATGATGCCTGTCACTCTGTCGTGACTATGAAAGAGTGTTATTCGCTGAAGTTAGCTATGCCTGTTTACAAGTGATTTAACTATTTCGGAAGTTCTGCATTCATTTGCTGCCGTATAAACGAAGACACGTAATTCTAAAGGAATATTATGGTTGTGAATTTGATGCCGAAGCAGGATCGGTAAGCTTTCATTCAACATATCACGAAAATGCTTAATTTTGTAGGACATTTACTGACATAAATTTGAATGCCGTACGGGAATTAAGTGTGAAAAATAGCGAGGTCACAAATTTTTATTACGTACGGGATTTGAATATTTTGTTGACATGTGGTTTTTAATTGTGGTATGAATTTAATACTGTACGGGAATTAAATATGAAAAATAGCGAGGTTCACCTATTTTTATTACGTACGGGATTTGAATATTTTGACATGTGACTTTTAATTGTGGTACGAATTCGTCTGCTTAAATAACGATAAGAGTTATGCCCCTTTATTTTCGGTAAAATGTCCGACAAGTAAAATTTTGAAATCCCATCACTGGTAACACCCCTGTTAATCCCGTGAGTAGTAGTTAATTAACTGGTCCCCCACTGATCAGGTAAAAAGAAATGTGAAAATAACAATAAACCCGGGATTATCTGTTAATTAATCTTTTGTTTTATTAAACGACTAACCTGATCATTGTTTTCACGCGTAACGAAACATTATTTCATACTGATTGAATAAAATAAAAGTACCGGCGAAGGCGAGTTTTGTCATGATCATCTAGTATCTCTTTTCCATTGCCACTTTGTTAAAATAGACGTTTTAGCGCCTCCTGTAATATTACATACACCCCCTGTAAATTGGTGATAAAATTAAAGATGGTTTTTTGTGCATGTGCTTTTTTGATAAAATAAAATTAATTCATCGATTTTCTTCACAAAAATGGATAAATATTATCGAATGCATCACAATGGTAGACAGTAGTATCGAAGGTTGGTACAGAATGACAAGTTTACAGAAGTTATGTCTGAGATTTGAGGAATGCGCAAGATTCAGCGACGGTCAAATTTACCGATGCAAGTATTGATGTTTGCTTCCAATGCATCCAAGCGTAATATTTAATTGGTGTCAGCACAAAAAGCACCAAGAGGCCACTCCCGTTAAGCGGTCAGTCGCGAAAATTCCCTTGGGTGGCTGCTTAATGCAGATTCTACTGTATATGAATAATATTTTTTACTTACGTCAAATGGTTTAAAGACAGAGCATACTGAACAGAAGGGAGCTCTCCTGGACATAATGGTATTAAAGATTTCTTCAGCTTCAAAATCTAATAGCTGTTCTTGCCATAATCGATGAAATGGATGAGCCCAGTCATCTAATAAGTTCACATTTACTGTTAATACAGCTTTCTTGATTTTAGATGGTTTAGTAGTTTCTGTGGAATTCTCTAAAACAGAAAAAACAAAAACACAATTATGAAATTAATATCCAATTATAAAACTTAAAATATTTTGAAACCATGTCATTTGATTTAATCATCAATGAGCTTTGAGCAGCAGATCAGATTATAATAGGCTAGCGATGACATCAAGAGTTGCTTATGGTCTGAATAAGTTACTTAATGTCTAATTAATAATTTAGATAACAATTCAGGCCCAAAGAAAGACCTGCAATAGGCAGATTTGGCTCTTGCATGATGCATGTTTAATTTATATTCATATCATACAACCTACCATCATCAGTACTGTTATTTTTCTGTTTTTTCCTTGGTTTCTCACAAGTTAAGATGGGGGACTTAGATTCAGATTTTAAAGATGTATTTCCACTCTTATTTACAGTTTTCTTTTTCTTTGTTTTAGTGATATCCGTTTGTTTACCAGTAATATCTGGTGGGCCATCCGTAGTTGTACCATCCTGTCAAACAATAAAATATAAATAAAGGCTCAGTATAATACTCCACTCTCACAACATATATAGGTTAACAGCTATAAGTATTAAATGCTCATCAAATTTCATCCCCAAAAGGATATCTTGTTGCATATATTTATGTTATTTAATCCCTAACCTTAATTTAAAAAAAAAGAAATTCTGGTTCTCTTCAGATACCTCTACATTTACGCCACATGAAAAGGGTTTAATGACTTTAGTTTTAGAGTCAACTATGTATGTACCAATAATCTTTAAATGGCATTTAGTAACTGGACAGAGTAAAAACAAAAACAAATACTTATGGAAAACAGCTACTGAGACAAATATAGACAAATTATAACAACATAACCAAGCTAATACAGGACAACAACAAGATCAAAGGCCTGTGAAACAATTACATGTACGGTAGGTTAAAATGACAGTACATCAAGGTTACACAACTCAGTGATCATTGAAATGAAATGGGGTTTAACGTCCTACTGTTCTGCTCCTAACCTGGGCTAATGAAGACGGGCATACGCCATACAGTGTGCTATGAGGGAAATTTTGCCCGGACAGCGGCACTACGGCCTACTCTTATATCGAATTCCAACTGCCAAGGGATCTTTTACGTGCACGCCAATGTGTACACGGGACCTCGGTTTTTCGTCCCATCCGAACGACTAGACAGCTCAGTGATCATTGACAAAATATATGAATACGTCACTCCTGCATCAGTTTCTTTTGAAGAATTGTTAGAGAGCCAGAATATTCTCTTTTTTGTATGACCTAATACTCAAGTCTACATGTATTTGGAAGAATTGTCCGAGAACCAGAATATTCTCTTTTTTGTATGACCTAATACTCAAGTCTATTTGGAAGAATTGTCTGAACCAGAATATTCTCTTTTTTGTATTGTCTTACATACATCTAAAGGCAAAGCCAATGAGTCACAATCCTTTAGGTTCACTTTATATTACAAACACAATTACTTTTAACATTTAAATAAAGAAGAAAGCCAGCCATGTGAAACCCTTTATCATTTTTGCTTGCAAGATAAACTTTTGAAAAGCAAACATTAGTTTATCTTGATGTTGAGTAATGAATAATAAAAAAGCTGAGTATATTAATCAAATCCAGCCTAAAGGCTAATCATAGAAATGTCTCAACATATACCTTGTTACCTGAGTATAGAGATGGGACCATCAGGTTTGGATCAGTCGCTGACATACTACTGCTGCCTGATGCTACTGCTGCTTGAGCTGATAAACTCTCACTACTAACACTACATGTACTATTAAAACCACTGTGCGAGGAGTGACTAGGGATAGCTGCACTAGCTAATACTAGATTAGGATTAACACTTGCAGTTATATCTGGTGGCAAAGCATAATTGTGTAAAGCACCTGGAGATAAGTCCTGTTTCCGTAAATGAGGTGGGGAAACTTGCGAACTCGGAACTATAGGTTGTGGGATTAACTGCATTGATTGATAATTTGAAGTTATGGTCTGTGTTGGTGATAACGAAAGTTGAAAATCACTCCTAGGAGATTTTTTCATTGGTCTATGTTTTAACGGTAAGCCTGACGAACCTGTAATTGTAGTTCGTGGGATATTATAATTATTATTAGCACTATTTAATGATACACTATAATCCTGAGGAATTTGAACAGTCACTGGCTGAGTTTTTCCCTTGGATTTCACCGTCATCGAATGACTAGTTTTCGGTTGCGACGTTACGTCCATTTTCATATAATTAGTTGTCATTGGCAAAACTTTGTCCATGTTCACACAATATGATGATGAAGCAGGCACGTCATCCATCTTGATGTAGCTAGAGGAAGATGGTTGTAATTGAGACACACCTTGTAATATAAAGCGTGGTGTATTATTATTAGATGACGGCTGTTTGGACGGTACTTGTGACGCGTATGAATGATGATTTTGTGATTTTATTTGTCGAGCAGATTGATCCACATGAGATGAAACATAAGACTGAGAATGCGCCATTGGAGGTGACCTATTTTGTATGGTTGATATTGACGATGATGGAGCTACAACTGAACCATGGCTTTCTGTGCTTTTCTGTAAAGCAGTGATGCGAGCAGCTCTGTGGATATGAGCCATCTGGGCTGCCAGTGCTTGACGTAACTGTTGTTGCTGTTCAACTGTAAGAGGAACTCTTTTACCACTGACCTCATAATAACCCTGCGCCAGAACTTGTCTAATCTGTTTCTGAATATGAAGTGCTTGAGCAGTTACTTGTATTTGTGGATTCATACCAGCTACATTAGATGCGGTTGTACCAGAAGCAGGATGTGTTTGTCTGGATGACGGTTCAATATATCTGGTTTCGTCTATGGGTTTATTTGGAATATGACTATTTTGTGTATACATACATGTTGACATGCTGCTGCCTTGGGTCGCGGTTACAGTTCGTAACTGTGTACTGCCATTTTCTGAATTATGATCTTTGTAAAGCTTCATAAAGTTTTCGTTATTAGTTTTGGGTTTCACTAAATTGAGGGCTGTGCCTTGAGAATTATCGTACATAAGCGGAGTTTTACTAGACATCAGGCTATAAACCTTGGATTGTAACATTCTTGGTGACACTTCCTGATAACTCCTTGGAGATGTTTTACAACTTGTTGCACCCGGGGAAGAGAACAATTTGGCCTGAGCAGCAGCAATTGTTTGATCTAAACTAAGTGGTGAACTCATTGATGTTGCCAAGATAGGTTCATGTCTAGGTGACAACATTTGACTAGTATTGTCCTGTACATTTGGTTGAACCACTACTGGATGCCCAATTCTCTGCTGTTGTGCCTGTAGAGAATTCACAAATCGTATGGTATCCAGAGGGATAGCAGCTGGACCTTGATGACCTTTAAGTGCCACTTTCTTTACAACAGCTTTCTTCACTTTCTTTATTGGTGGTTCTATATTTGTTTGGACAGAAAGCATGTCTTGTGGAAGAGCAGGGTCAATTTCTGCTTTAGCTCCTGCATCTGGGTTATTTTCAGTGTCAGAGGATTCAACTTTAGGACTGTTCATCTGGCATTTATCTGGTGACTTGACTTTGTTTAAATCAATACCAAATTGTTTGGCAAATGCATCCTGGAAGGAAGATGAATTTGAAGCTTTGCTACTCTTTTGTGGAATTTTATCATATTTATCAATCTTTCTTTTGGAAAGCGAATTCTTCTTTATGTTTTCTTTAACTTCCCCATCATTATCTTCATTTTTTATTTCATCTTTGACTTTCTTCTTTTTAGCATTTGTTCCCTCTTCTGTCTCTGTACCAATTTCTACTTCAGTAGCCACACCCTCTTCTACCTTGATATCAATACCTTTAGGCTTTCGACCCCGTTTCTTGACAGAACCATCCTCAAAAGTTTTAGATACAGGATGTCTTTTAGAAACAGTTCCAGATGCATTGTCAGGTTCTCTATAAAAAAAAAAGCACTTTTAAAATATAGCAGTGGAAATCTATTTTAGGTTTGAATGTACATGCAGTAAAAACAGTAACATTTTGATAGCAAAATCATAAAGATTAGCCAACCTGGCACTTTTTTAGAATCCAAAATATGGCATTACTTGATGTGACATCAATTTTATTGCAAATTGTTAGAACAACTAAAAAAGACTAGAGAAAAGAAGGACAGTGCTTCATAAGTGTTCTTGTTCAAGTAATGACATTCAAGAATAATTAGGGGGATCACTTGGCTAAGTGGGTAAGACGCTAGCTCGCTAGCCTGGAGGCCGGGTGTTCGATTCCTGCATGGGCTGAGAGTTCATCCAGTTTTTCCGGCGTGGTTCTCCCTTGTCAGTGATGCAGGACGGAGGGGCTGACAAGGAAAGCTGTCTAGTCGTTCGGATGGGACGAAAAACCGAGGTCCTGTGTACACATTGGCGTGCACGTAAAAGATCCCATGGCAGTTGGAATTCGATATAAGAGTAGGCCGTAGTGCCGCTGTCCGGGCAAAATTTCCCTCATAGCACACTGTATGGCGTATGCCCGTCTTCATTAGCCCAGGTTAGGAGCATAACAGTAGGACGTTAAACTCCATTTCATTTCATTTCAAGAATAATTAAGAAACAAATGAAATGAAATGTGGTTTAACATACTATTTTTTGCACCATATCGGCAAAACAAGGGATGTACATTTATCTAACGCTTAAATCTAATAGTACCCTGTTTTGATAAGAGATCCCGTCTTCAGTGGGAGTAGAACATTTAACTCTGTTTCATTTGATAAGAGATTTAAATGCAAATTATACAAAATCAAATGTCTGACCCTGATCTAATGTTTCTCTTGTATTTATCTTCAGGATGAGGACCAATATCTTCTCCTGCCTTCCATAATGGATAACGATCTGGTTGAAATCTCTTAATAAAACAATCCATACTAATCTTAACACCATCTTTTCTACAAACACACTGAAACATAAATATATACAATTATAGAAATGTAAGTGAAATGAATTGGGATTTAATATCCTACAGTTCTGCTCCGACTGGGCTAATGAAGATAGGCATACACCACACAGTGTGCCCAGACAGTGGCGCTATGGCCTACTTTTATATCAAATTCCAACTGCCAAGGGTTCTTTGACCTCAGTACTGCACCAATGACACGGTGCAACCACACAGGAAAATCCTGATGACCTTTCTCGGCTAATGCAAGGATTGAACAAGGGACCTCCACATTAGCAATCCAACGGCTTACTCACTGAGTCACTGTGACTCCCAATTCATTGTATACACAAACTACAACTAACCAGGGGTGGGACGGGGGAGAGAGAGAGAAAGAAGATCTTATTAGGGACAGTGTCTTGAAACCTAAGATGACCCCTATTATGCATCCATTGGTAGCAAAGTCATCTGTGCAAACAAATTCCTACAGGTCAATTTTGTAATAACATTTTGTATGGAATCCGAAGGGAGAAGTTGATATACCTGTAGACATCTTTTACCATATTCTATCCAGCGTTCTGTAGCAAAGTTCGTTGATTCAGCACAATTAAAACCATGATTATAACCGGAATGATAACCATAGGGAAATGTTATCATAAATTCACCAGCTTCTTGGGTAATCTGAATAGAAATAAAATAAAAAATAGAAATTTGTAAACTGTAAACAATAAACTTTTAGGGCAATCTAAAGACACATTGAAGTAAGTTATAGAAATCTTATTGGGTTTCTGCAGCATCTACATTTTATGTTGACGAAAGACATTTTGCCAGACAACAAAACAAAAGCCCACAGCAGAAAAGATGTCGTAGCAGTCCATAAAGGTTGAGGCATTGTTAATCTTGGGTAAATATTTATACTTTATACTGCATAACATCCTGAGTGCATTGACAGGATTCTAGGACACATTAGCTCTATGAATAATTACATGTATAAAAATTGTTTTAAATCTTATTCATCCTAATAATCAGAACAATAAACAAAGTATATAAATCTCAAGCAGATCAAATGGCAACTTTTGCCATTACAGCTTTAACACTAGTCTCAAAAAATTTGTTAGGCTATGTAAGACATCTGAAATCCCTGAAATTCAATAGTTTTCTTCACCTCACTGATGCAAACAGAATAGATGATAGATGTAGCAATATGACATTTTAATGTATTACTATGATTTATAAACTGAGCTATAATAAATTATTACCTTATTAAAGGGTATAGAATATTGACGTAAAATATGAGGAGATATCAGGGTCATTTTATGACGTAAAAATGCAGGACAAGCTTGAAAACTTCCTGGGAAAAAACCTGAAAAAAAAAGAGTTTGGTCAGATATTAAAATGGCAATGCATGTACCATTTTTATGCTCTATGCTGCTACTGTTGAGCGAGACAAATTCCTTTTTTCAGTTCAATACCTACATGTATACCGAAATCAAAACTTGCGATTTACATGTAACTTAAAGGCAGAAGTGCATGAAATAGGAGTTATTGCCCTTTGCATTTGAATTAAGACAGATATACATGAATGTATGACTTCATAACTCTGTTATGTTCAAAAATTTCTAATGTACAATTGTCCAACAAGAGAGAGAAATGGAGTTAAACGTCCACCTGACCCAAAACAGATCATTATGGGACTAACATGATCGGATGTGGCTAGCAATTTTATATTCAAGGTTATTCTTATGCTGATCACTAGGTATCACCATGCTATTTTAGTCAAACTCTTCTATGCAACAATTGACAATGTACAAAAAGATACATGTATACTAAATATTCTTCAGAGACATTTGATTACTTAATAAATACATGAAACCTACCTTGAGCTAGACGTTCCAAACGTTTACCATGTTCCGGTGGAACAGCATACCAAGATTTCGGAGCACCAAAATGGAGGTAATTAATACTGTATAAATCCATATCTTCTGTATGCCACGCAAAAGTTGTTTTCCACATACCAAAATACAAATAGGCTGTGTTAACCCCTTCGATATGAATACCATAATCTCCTGCTACATAATCTAATATAGTTCCTAGTCGGTTGATATTCCAGATATTCTGATCTTCATCATATATTGATCCAGATATGTCTGCACCGTAGATTGGAGCACCAAATGTTATATTCTTCCAATACTTTCTCTCCAATTCCTCGTAATCAAAATGTTTTGGTGTTCTGTGTCTGATAAAAGAAAATAAATTCATATTTTAAAATAACCAATTGGATAGCATTTATTAATAAGCAGTTGACTGGACAACATCATCTACATAGTAGTATTTAGTATGCACAAACAGTCGCTTTTTGATGCCTATTGTGATTATTCACAACCAGGGGTGGGCCAGAAAATTAAAGCCCTGTATTCTGGTGGCGGTGTCATTTTTGCCACTCTTTAAGGGTAATGAGGTTGAAGCAGATTGTTTCACAGATTTACACAATTTGACATAGTAACTTATATACACACTAACCACTATCAATCCAAAGTTGTAAATGAAATGAAATGGGGTTTAACGTCTTACTGTTCTGCTCTGACTGGGCTAATGAAGACAAACCAACAGACCTACCACATATCAACATCTATAAATCTATCAGACATATCTATCGGTGGAATCGTTTTGGACAATTTAGAGATTCGGCTGGCTAATAAACTTGTAAGCTTGCCAATCGGTTAAAAATGACTCAAATACAATAAGTACCAGTGATTAGATTTTCCTGTTATCAGCATAATTCATATCTTACTTATCACTGTTGGCTAGCTTTTTAAACTCTTCGACAGTCAATGGTTTCTTTTGTATATTATATTGTGTATACAAGCCTTGACATCCATTAACCATTTGACTTATTGGTGCAGGTATCGTAATATCAATATCATCATAACCCTTTCTCCTTGGTTTCCATTCTGGAGGTGGAATAACCTATAAATAGAAAACATATCAAGTGTCACTGATCTCCATAAATTTATTAGAATTCAATTAGACTCATTAGAATAGTTAATTCATCTACACATGTCATGTTATACATGTATGCCCTTTAACAACAATGCATGTGACTAAGTGATATGGAGAGAGAGAGAGAGCGAGAAATGGGGGTTAATGTCCATTCGACACAAACTAGATCATTTCAGGACTAATACATGATTCAATTTTATTTCAAAAATTTGATTTGTTTGCGCATAGGGTTCTTTAACAGTAGGAGGAAACCCACAAGGTTGGACAGGCAACCCTACTTCTTGTCACGTACACCTGTGGAATCGAAACCCTGCCAGTTGACTCAATGACAGACCTTATGATACAGTGTGGTGGCGTGCACGTGCTAACCATTCGGCCATCCAACCCCACTCGATGAATTGTACAATCTTCTTTTTAAAATATGTATTTCAATAATGGACAAACCTTTGCTAAGCCTGCTTTATGAGCTCCTTGCGACTCTATGTAATTGATGTACTTTGGAAAATCTTTGAATTCTTCCATTGTAGGACGGAAGACCATAATTTTTGGGCCACTACCCGAAGACCCCCCTGATGAGCTGCTATTTCCATTTGACTCCATTTTGCCATTGGTCAAATCAAATCTGAAACAAAAATTAGAAATAATCAATTAATTAAGTTTCAAATTTCTGATAACAATTAAGAGGGAAATTGTAGAATCTATGCATTAATCCATAATTATGGCATATGCAATATGACTGATCTGACTAATCTGACCTGCAGAGAGATTTTAAAGCGCAAATGAAGAGGGATTAAACATATATTGTTTTTCTGCATGAATCGTGCAAATAAATGAAGATGGGCATATAGCACACAACCAGACATGACCAATGAGTGCAATTTTGCCCAGGCAGAGACTTGAATATGAAAGGTTGTGGGCTCTTTTTACCTTATGTGTTCGGCAACGCCCAACGTGTAAGCTTACGTTCCCTGCAAGACCCTCTGAATTGCAGCACTTACAATTGGAAAAACCTGAGGAACTTCCTCTGCAAAAACAGAGATCGAACCCACTTACTCATTGAGCCAATATGACACTCCCACTTATAAAGTTTGCCACCGTCCAATTTACAAATAATCTGACTTTAGGCTTAGTATTTAACAGGTTTTAAATTCACACTACAAATCAAACAATTTAGTTATCTAAGTGTACCAGTATGTCAATCATTTTTACTGTCATTCCATACAGATGTACATGTAATATATCAGGGGTGAGGGGTAGAGTCATAAAGAAAATGGACCTCCGAATTCAGATCAACCAAATGCAATGTATGTAAGCTACATAGTATGTAGAATTTGGGAGCAGGTCTTTCATCCCACGACAGTTACACCCCGGGCAGTTTCATCCCAAATTTACATGGGTCGTTTCATCCCATTAATCATGCTACTGAATTGACCTGTCAACTCAAAAGTAGGTTAGACTACACAGTCTTAATTGATATCAACAATTTTTTTTTTTCTACTAGAGAACACCCCCCCCCCCCCAAAAAAAACTCTTCTTGGTCAGAGGCCTGTTTCATGAAATTTTAACTAAGATAGAATCCAAATTTTAGTAATTTGATTGGATAATATTAGATTGATTTTGATTTTAGTGCTTAGCTAATCTGGGTGTTCGATACCTGCATTGGCAGAGAAAGTTCATCCAGATTTTCCAGCGTGGTTCCCCCTTGTCAGTGATGCAGGACGGAGAGTCAGACAAGGACAGCTGTCTAGTCATTTGGATGAGACGAAAAACGGAGGTCCCGTGTACACATTGGCGTACGCGTAAAAGATCCATTGACAGTTGGAATTCGTTATATAAGAGTAGGCCGTAGTGCCGCTGTCCGGGCAAAATTCCCCTCATCGCACACTGTATGACGTATTCCCATCTTCATTAGCCCAGTTCGGAGCAAAACAGTAGGACGTTAAACCTCATTTCATTCATTTTTGCTTAGCCAATCAAAATTGAAGTACCTACTAAAATTTGGATTTTATCTTCAGTTAAGATTTCGAGAAACTCCAGAGGGTTGCCTGTGAAAAAGTGAAGCCCCCAATTCCTACATTTTCTGTATCGTCCCCTGTATTTTTAAAATATAAACGTGGACCTACATGTAGTGTGAAATACTTCAATTTGTGAAAAAGATTGTATTTTTCATAAAACCCATGCAATACTCTAAAATTTGACATCATTCTGTGTCAGCTACACTATTATCATTATTATGGGCCGTTTCTTTCAAGTGGCCTACCGGTACTTTTGGATACATTCTCATGATTGAGTCTTGTGCCTAAATGTATACATATATATAGACTTTATTATCAATGACTGGGTGAATAGTCACAGATTGATTTTTACTTTACTACTCTCAGTACTCGGTGAATACTGTCAGCCACTTCAACTAAAAAATGAGAGCATATTCTTCTCTTCCGGTTTTCGTAGTTTGATGTCAATTTCAAAATGGCGTCTTTCACAACAAACCAACCATTTGATAATTTATTTTTTGTGTCTTCCAAACAGCTTGTCAACCGTTGTTACAATAAACTGAGAATGACAACGGCCTGTCAATTATACATAGCTTACAAAAATATGTCACTTAGACATACAAAAATCATTAACCACATAGATCTAGCCTACAGTATATTTTTTTTTCAATGTCGTCCAGCACACGACGACTGATCACGAATTAAATTTTGCAGCAAACTTAACCTACAACACTGCCCGGACTAGAATTCGTGTTTATTATAATCAGTCAGTCAAATACACGTATACTTCAACATTGCATACTTCAAATTAAGTTGCAAACTAACCTTTTAAACAGGTAAATTCTACACAAATCAAACAGTTGAAGATAAAATTGTTCATACGTGCAAACACCATGTTTGATTGCCTTCTCACAATTCTCGTGACCTTGATTGTAGAAAGTAGTTCTCCTGGTTGAGTGCTTTAAATCAATTGGAATTTAATATTTTTGTTGATGCTGATTAAAATGAAAACGATTAGCAATGACTGATGTTTTATGAAAAAGTTTATTTCTGTTTATATCGACATAAATTATTCCACTTTCCGGCGGAGTGATACAATGCTTTCTTTTGTATGCCCCTGAATCTCCACTCGATTATAGTCTATTTCTTTAATGTGTAAAATGAACAATAATAGTATTAATAGCAGCGTACGTGTGTCGTGTACTCTGAAGTAAACAAGGCTGACCCGATCGTATATTCATGTTAAGATTATACCCGATTAAATGAAAGACACAAGGCCTTGCGATTTAAAGATAATGCTTCATTGAGGTTAATAAGATTGTCGATTGCGTTTACCAAACTCGCATGTTACATATTTTAAAGTGAAAGTAGGCCCAAAATTTTTTATGAACAGTTGAGTTAGTTATAAAATCTTATGCTGAATTGTTTTGGGGTTGTTTGGACTGAGGGACATGCTAGGCTTATGTCACCCCATCCCATCAAGAAAACATGCCTTATTATTAATATTATATTACTCAGAACTATCGGAGAATTGAACTCGAAAATGAAACTTTGTGGGATCGGATACTACCAGTCTAAAATTAATCCAGTTAACGGAACATTTCAGCGAAATAAGTCGTTTTTGTTTCCTAACACTCGCAAGATCTCAAAAATGCAGATTTACTGAATGCTCTATGACCACACGATCAAATAAAGATTTTTTTTTTTAAAAGTTACAAACAAGCGCACTTATCCAGAGGCAGCCTCCTACAAGAAATTGATTGCAAATCTCCCAAAAGAAAACTTCAAAGGTCAAATATAGTCCCGCAGCCATAATTTAAAGCTTGTTTAGAAATACAATTTCCCTCCATGGCCCTCTTAGCTAAACAAACTATACAATTTTGAAGGGGCTATAACATCAGGAAAACAAATCTGAAAGTTCCAAGAAAAGTGCTCGCACAACCTTTTTCATTTTCGGGACGGATGAAAATCGTTGTGTACAATTGTCGAGTAAATGGTATAGGTCTACTAATTTAATTCTGAAGTTGGAATAAAATTACATATCGACGAAAACACCCGATGCCTTCATCCTTGACAAGAATGGTGTATTGGTTAAATTTTGATTTAAACAAAAATACCCAAAACATAAATGCCGAGTCTGAACAAGGAAATTTGGAAATCCAATAACGGTTTTTAAAAAAAGAGTTATCTCCCTTTCCGTGAAATGCCTGCAATTGTTAACAGAAAGCTATTTCAGGTGCGTGTTGAGTGCTGATGCTGTGAGCACACAATCCCAACATTTATATCGTTAATGGGGCAGGAACTGGGTGGCTAGAGTCTGATGAACCAGGGATCTTTTTGACATTGGTTGAGCAATATGATTATGAAGTAACGGAGACCAGAACTGTCAATAGCATTCTAAATCTCACTGAAACCACGTGATCTTTGCCACTAACTCATATACCCTTTCAGTTAGACCATACAGTATTTTTATTACATGTAGCTGTATTTAGTTCAGATATGATTTAAGGCCAAATTACAAACATATTTAAAACGAAACCGTATCTATAATTCTGTAATTTGCTTACAAGTATAGGAGATCAAAATTAAACAGTTATTTTAAATGTCACCAAAGTTCATCATCATCGCTGTTACTACATGTATAATCACCAAATTCGGTCTCTTTAACAGTCTTTTTGTTTCATTTTCACACTGACCACACTTACACAGATATGTACAAGACAACCCCGGTGCGGTTTCCCCTTGTCAGTGGTACAGGGCGGGAAGGAACTGGATAGGACATTGCCCATTCGTTCGAATGGGATGGAAAACAATAGTTTAAACAATATTTGATTCAACAATCAGACTAAACAATAGGCAAGAAGAGGCTATAAGTTCTCTCAAAATGATATTTCTACTAGTATTTCAGTAAATATTCAGTTCAGATAAGATTGAGGATAAATTCCTAACAAATATTTTTATTGAAACAAAGTATCTATAAATATGTAATTTTCTCACTAAAATATGTAAATGGCAAAGACTAAATAATACTGTAATGCTACTAGGTTCCTACTGTCGTGCGATGCGTTGCGATGGGATTGTCCCTATTGAGTCCACGATCTGGTACGGGCAGATACGTCCGGATACGTTTGGATACGATTAACACGATTGCTACGAATGAACTTAATATATCATGGTAAGACCTGATTGGATCACTACGATTACTACACGATTTCAATTGCAGTACGAATCGTGATACTGGGAACCTATAGCATAAGCGAATGACAATTATAATGAAGAGAAAAAAAAATCAAATGGCATTTAATGTCTTACTGTTCAGTATCAACCGAATAATGAAGATGTATACATACGCCATGCATTATATAATAGACCCTAGTCGGGAGTATGTCAGGGGCGGAACTAGTGTGTGTGTGTGGGGGGGGGGGGTCCACGAAAAAACTGTAAAACAACACTTTATGAGAAAAATGTCACGGCCGTGTGTAATGCTTTATCCTTTATCATCAGATGGTGGTATGGGATTAGCATTTGAAGTGCGAGATAATAATATAGACATATGTGATATCACAATTAATGCTTTGGATCTATGGAATTGAATCACAATGTGTGATCCTATTAATTCATTATAAACATTGACATCAAACGGAGTGTTGGGTTTTTCTCTTTAAAAAGCTCAAAGTGTATGTATGTCCATACGTAATTTAGAGACGATAAATGCATTATGCATTGTCAACTGTCAAATGTCATTATCCTGCAAAAATTTCTGGACCCGCCCCTGTAGGCTATGTGTTATTAATGAAAGACAATAATGACATTGTTACAAAAGATTAATCGATACACATAATTTTTGAAAAGGGCTGAACCGTACAATAGAAATTGTGTGTTGTAATCTATCCTTAATTTTATAATAGTTGTGGGCTGAATTTGCTATCGTTTGTGAATCAGCCATTTTATTACTTCCGCATAAGAATTGAAATGAAATGAAATGGGGTTTAACGTCCTACTGTTCTGTGAATCAGCCATTTTATTACTTCCGCATAAGAATTGAAATGAAATGGGGTTTAACGTCCTACTGTTCTGATCCGAACTGGGTTAATGAAGACGGGCATACGCCATCCAGTGTGCTATGAGGGAAATTTTGCCCGGACAGCGGCACTACGGACTACTGTCAAATTCCAACTGTCAAGGGATCTTTTACGTACACGCCAATGTGTACACGGGACATCTGTTTTTCATCCCATCCGAACGACTAGACAGCTGTCCTTGTCAGGCCCTCCATTCTGCATCACTGACAAGGGAGAACCACGCCAGAAAATCTGGATGAACTTTCTCCGCCAATGAAGGGATCGAACACCCGACCCCAGGCTAGCAAGCCAGCGTCTTACCCACTTGGCCACCGCGACCCCTGTCTTATAAGACATGTTTTTCTTTCTTTATCGCAAGTGGCCTTCGAAACCATAGAATACACGACTCGTGCAGTGATTATAAAATGTTCAATGTGTTTTAAATATTGGATAGAGGCATAGGTAGGTGTACGAGACCGATGAATATTACGGAGCAGACCTGAAATGCCTGGACAAAATCCCGTTTATTGAAGGTACCAAGAAACAATTTGACGGCCACATATAAACGCGTTTTCCTGCTATTCCAGTCTGCGAATACAGCAAACGCAAAGTGGTCTAATATATTTGTCCGTCAATAATATGTGAAATCTCTTAATTTTAGTCAAATTGATCCACTCCAAACCGAGATTTTAGCGATTGAATTTTCGGCCTAGCCTCGATCATCATTACTAAAGTCAGTATAATAAAACACATAGTCTCGTTTATCCATTGCATGATTAAATCAAGAATGAAATTGGAGCATCAAATGGGATTCTAATCCAGTAAACATCGCAGGCTAGCATTGACACCGAGTGTTGGTTATGGTCTGGAAGTTATTTAATGTCTAAGTAATAATTTAGATAACATTTCAGGCCTAAAGAAAGACCTGCAATAGGCAGATTTAGCTCTTGCATAATGTATGTTTAAGGTCAAAGGAAAGATCTGCAATAGGCATATTTAGAGCTTACATACTGCATCTTTACCGCGTGACCTAATAATGAATCGAAAGATATATTTTATAAGGAAGAAAATGCAATGCATATGAAAATTAAGGGAACGTCGTCCAGCCAAAACTGATTTTCTTAATAAATTAAAATGACTAAATGATCTGAATACTAACTGTCAAGCAGTCATCTTACTCATCAATGTTGATGCTAAAAACAAAAAGAAACCTATATCAGCACATCTCTTGAACCAAAATCGAAACAACCAGGGCCCTGTGTCTCGAAATCTTAACTAAAGATAAAATCCAAATTTTAGTAGATACTTCAATTTTGATTGGCTAAGCACTAAAATCAATCTAATATTATCCAATCAAATTACTAAAATTTTGATTTTATCTTAGAATTTCGCGAAACCGGCCCCTGAAGGTTAATGGAACTATAACAGTCAATGCAGTATAATGTAGCTTTAAAATAAACCACAGTATTCATCGTTTCGCTTGGCAGGAATTTAGTCAATAAAGTCAAGTTATCCATAACGTATAGTGCTCTTAAGTCCTGGCATTCTATTCCCACCATATCTGAAATATTGGTTTTGGTAATTATCAACAAAAATATTACAATAAAGAAAACCTTTTTCTAATTAGAAAATCTGTTATCTGGCACTAAACACTTCAAAAAAACCAAAAGAACAATCTTGGCTCGGACCGATTGGTGTGATTGATAGTTGTTGGTATAGGACCACACAAATATTTATAAGTATGCTATAATTGGGCACATGAATTTGATGGTGAGTTAAAAACAAAGCAGTGTTTCGTTTTATAAATCTACACTAAACAGTTTATATCTATGCATCGTTCATCTGACCAGCCTGCCTGCAGTGTAGTGATCAATCAAACG